TCACATGTCCTTTTATCAGCATTATTTAGTAATAATGAAAATGAATGAATTCAATTCTAATGTTATTTTTACAAAAGGCAATTTTTACTATTCCAGAAAACCAATTTAGTTTTCTTGTTATGTAACTGCAATTATTTCAAAATGCTTTAAATTACTACACCTAAATGAAACAACAGAGAAAAAAAATACAATAGTGCAATATAGTCAGAAACTAGTGAGTTCACAACCCAGAGCCACAGCTCAGTTAATAAATAATTAACTTCCATTGTATTGTTGTTGTTGTTGTTGTTAAGTAAGAGTTAACTTATTAATGTAGTTTTCTTTTTAGGAACCCTAAGGCTTCCACAATTATTTTACTTTAACATTTCTTATTTTAAGGTAACATAGACTTGGGTATCCATGCATTTCCAATCATTTAGGATCACTAATGCTCTTGTCTTTGCAAAGCAGAGAAAAGTAACAATATAAAATTTAGAGACGAAAACCTTTTTTTTTTTTTTTTGGTTTTTTGAGACAGGGTTTCTCTGTGTAGCTTTGCGCCTTTCCTGGAGCTCACTTGGTAGCCCAGGCTAGCCTCGAACTCACAGAGATCCACCTGGCTCTGCCTCCCGAGTGCTGGGATTAAAGGCGTGCGCCACCACCGCCCGGCAAGACGAAAACCTTTTAAAGGTAAAACTGGAAAAGACTGTTTTGTGAAGTGTAAGAAATTGGATCCTCAAAACTGGATTATACATGCAAGTTCTAAAGCAACTAATAAGCATAGAACATTTTAAATATATATATATATATTGTGTGTATAAGTTAAAACATCAAATTATATGTTGGTATTTAGCAGGAAAATTTAATTGAATAGCTTTTGAGTGGTTCTTAGATTTTCAGATTTCTAACAGATTTTAGGTTGCTTTCCATACTAATTAAAATATATTTAAATGTTTTAAGTAAAATTATATTTATTCCTTAATATTTATAATATTTAACATTTCTTTAAGCGGCCCCTAAAATTTATGGTTTAACATAAATGTTAATGGTTTCCATATGTATGGTGGTATTCTATTTGTACTGAAATGTGATTTTAATTGTATGTTAATAAATAAAGTTGCCTGGGGGTCAGAGCTATAAGAGCCATAGAAAGAGCATGGCGGTGGTGGTGCACGCCTTTAATCCCATCTCTGTGTGTTCACAGCCAGCATTGGAGACATACGCCTTTAAGAACTGGAGGGCTGTACTTACAGGCAGTGACAAGGCAGTCATGTGTTTGGGTTTACAACCAATGAGAAGGCAGAACAGAAAGACTATTTAAAGACATACACACAGGAAGTAGGTCTCTTTCGGAGAGCTAGGACCACTGCAGGAGGAAGGGTAAGGTTTTAGCTCTGAGCTCTGACCTCTTGGCTTTCTCTTTTACATTGGTTCTTTGTTTCTTATTTTAATAAGACGGTTGGTTACGTCTACACATATGATCAAAATGGGCCTGGGAAAACTGGCCTACAGGCAAACCTGTATTGCATTCATGACTGATGTAGGCAGGCCCGGTTTACTGGGGACAAAGCCACCCCTGAGCAGGTGGTCACAGCCAGCATAAGAGAGAAGTCTTAACAAGCCTTGCCGGGCATGTCGGAGAACAGCATCTCTCCATGGCTTCTGTTCCAGTTCTTGCCTCCTGGTTCCTTTTTTGAGTTCCTCCTCAAGTTGCTTTTGGTCATGGTGTCTTACCAGACCAAGAAAACCCTAAGCCACCCCTAAAAGAACCCCAGACTGTAAACCAAACCAAAGCAAATCAAACCCGACTGCTCATCTGTATTATAAACTAAACTCTCACAGTTATACAAGTTTGTTGAAAGCAGTCTTTGGAAGTAAGGAGACCCACCCTGTCTTAGATAGGCATGTTTGTTCAAACATCCTCTAAAACACCCTGTCATGGGTCAGGCTGGCCCTCTGCCTGTTACAATGAAAAAGGAGAAAGGCACACAGCTAAGGTAGTGAAAACACTGCACTTCTGAAAATAACTGACAGGAAAACATTTCCAAAAGGGGTGACAATTACAGCCTCTGGTGTAAAGATGCCTGTGGCAGGAATGAGAACCGGGAAGCTCATCCACAGAGATGGTCGGCCCTGTCCGAAAACCTCTCTATAGCGAACTCCAGTAGACTGTTTCAGAACAACTGGTTGCCCTACTCATTTCTGCTGGATGTCATTATGTCCAATTTGATGATGTGACTTACCTGCTATTCTTCTACTCTTGCCTGCTACAGGTCTAATAAATGCATTCATCTAAATCCATTATATTATATTATTATATTGCAGATTATTCTCCAGAAAGAACAATATCCAGATGTTCAAACAACCTAACCGCCAGGTGGTAACACACTACCATGTACCACAGAGTTAGACATGTCTTTCTCACCTCACTCGTTTGTCACAGGCCACTGCCTTTTGTTTTGTTCTGGCTAGTGTGACATTAGGTCTTTTACTTAGCATTGTACTAATTCTCAGTTAAACAAATTTAGGCATCCTTATTTACATTTATGCTGTTTTATTTTCTACAGTTTAGTATTAGTATATACCAGAGCTCACAGATGTATAGCTCATAAAATAAATATAAGCTTTTTGCTTTCTATAAAAAAAACTTTACTGCAATATAATTATACCTCTGTGCTAACAATGTTAAGGCTGCTGCTTGCATGCCACATCAGCACAGCTGCAGATCCACAAAACTGAAGGTCTCTATCAGTTATCCTACTAAGAAAAGATCACTGACCCCTAGGCACAGAAAAGGTCTATAGCCAATCTGCTCAGTTTCCACAGCTTTCAGCAGTTTGTTGATCTAGATTTTTTTTTTGAGATTATCATGTATCATGTAATTACAACATTTTCCCCTTCTATTTCCTCCCTTCAAGCCTTCACATATACCACTCCATTTTCCTTCAAACTCATGGCCTCATCTTCCACTATTTCATATGTGTGTGTGTGTGTGTACATATATGTGTGTATGTATATGTATATACATGTATTCCATATGTCATTTTTTAAATGTATGTTTTCAGGGCAGATCACTTAGCACTGAACAACCATTTGGTGGGTTCTTCCCATTTAGATTTTGATGTAGATTATCTGATCATTAGTGTTACAAGGCTCTTTCATATTATGTGTCAATAGTGAATTTATCTTCTGTCTTAATTGAAGTATGTTTAAATTTTACAATGAAATAAAAGTTGTTTACTGCTGATTTTGGCCACATAGGCTTTCTTAAACTAGGAAATTTTTCTTTAATCATTATCTTTCTAGGATTCTTTTCATATATAAGTGAAAATATCAAATGTTTTATATTTGGTAAAATGTCATTTGACCATATAAGATACATCTGGTGTATGTTTTACATTGAATGATAATGTAAACTTCTTTTGCTGGCAACCTTACTAAACTGGTGGATATTCTAGCTGTACTTCCATGTTTTACACCTTCATTGAATAAGTTAGCAGTTCAGTATGGTGTATTAGGTATTTTAGCTATCTTAACAATTTAAAATGATTAAGGAGAAAACTGATCTGGAATGAATGTGGTCTATAACATGTAGTCCCAACTCATTAGGAAGCTGAGACAAGAGCATTACCTGAACTGAGGTTTTCAAGGTCAGCTTAGGCAATACCTTGTTTTCAAAAAAAAAAAAGGTACAGGAAGAGGAGACAGCCAGGGGAAGTCATCAATTCTATACAGAAAAGGCTTCTCGTACTTTAGAGCTCGTGATATTTGAATATGGAATTCAGTCAATTTTACTTCAAAAATTGTTTCACAATTTAGTAAGTGTAAAGCAATCTAAACATAAGTGAGAAAAACAAAAGCAGTGGCTTTGCTCAAACACTAAAGTGAATATTCACAAGAAGTCTACAATTTCCAAGTCTGTACTTGTTAAGAGATCCATGATTCAACTCACATGTTTTTACTTCTTCCCACAAAAACACTGGCTTTACTCTAAATTCTATCCGTATGTCCAACTAAGCAGGGCACCGACCAATACCTACCACTAGGTAATTACTATATTTAGGCACCAACTCACAAGAAAGTAGACAAAAAACACAATAAAAAAAAACTTCACATACGATCAAAAATGCACTTTCTTCCTTAGGAAGAAAATTTCTAAGCAAGTAGCAAGCCTGTTTGCTTTTACAAATTTGCCATGTCCGCTCAATAATTACAAATCATTATTCTGAAATTTTTCAAAATTCAGATCTACAAATCCATCAGAGAACCTGAAAATCAGAGTTACAGAAAATTAAATTTCCCTCCAACTTATGTGGCATCAACTAAATGGGAGTAGGTATGAAACTATCTATAATTCTCATTTATCTCACTTATTTAGCACAAGTATTTGCAGAAGGAACCTTGGTGTGATATAAAGGGTCTCTTTAGGCTATGGAAATATTACAACTATAGACACATGTATGACTTCTCAGAGATTTGAAGTTTATGTATTGTGATATAAACAGGTTTAAGTGTTTTTGATAATGCAGTGTAGATCTTGTAATTTTGAAGAAGATCCTCAACTCTTTCTTCCTTCATCATCAAAAGCAACTCTTAATACTCCAGATGCTATGTCTACTTAGTCACTTAAATTCTGAAACATTTGTATAATGGAAACACTACTCTTACACCAGACTATCTTTCATACAAGAAGCATTTCATTAATAGGTGTACTTCAAAAACATCACAAAAATACTTCAAGAAAACGAAACAAAATGCTTTCGGAGCTGACTATATTAAACAACACAACATTTATTTACACTATCACTTATTCCAAAAGCAGTTTGACTTTGAAGGTTTTAAATTTGTATTATATGAATCTAAGTGTAAACTCAGAAAACTTCTCCAAGAATAAAGTAGAAAAGATAAAGGATATATGTATTCTTGCAACATACAGTTCCATTTTGCTCTAGTTTTGGACTTCAGTATCCAAAGTGTCCAAGTGTCAACATCATGCAACAGAGCACAAGAGAAGCACTTACTTAGGAGCAGAAGGACCCCTTGGCCACGTCCCGTCTTCATTTTTTTGTTCTATCACTAACACCTGCAAACACGACACAATACAGGGTGTTTGTCCACAGCTATGAAGTCAGACAGCTTTAGGAGATAGGCTGATAAGGAACTAAAGTAACTGATCATTTAAGGACAAAACAGACAAAATCGGTCTGAAATAAGCCAGTAGTGACAGTGAAGAAAAGGAAATAAAAAATCAGTTTCTGCAACTTTAATAACATGTAAGTAAGCCAAACAATAGACTATAAGTTGTTTCAGTTAAAAGTGTATGTTTTAAACTGTATTTACACTTAGAACATCTGTTAACTGCACAATCCTATGTTACATCAGTGGCTCTGATGTAATATTAACTATTAATATGCAAAATATTACTGAGAAACAGTGGCAAAAAAATTCCAAACTACAGATTACTTGTAATTTGTTTAGGGCTTTGAAATCTCTTTTAGAACTAGTTTTTATTACATTTATGGATTTCTCTGCAGTGTGTATGGGTGCCTGTTTGTGTAGGCACCCATGATACATGGGCCGGCCTGTGCCTGACGCCCTCATGGAGAGGAGAGAGCACTTGGCGAGGTCACTTCTCTCCTTCCACGGTGTGCATGGACCTTAGCCAGACTTGTGGCAAGCGCCTTGACCCACTGAGCCATCTTGCCAGCCTTAAATTATGAAATCGCTTAGTACATAACTGAAAGTCACATTTATAAGAATCCAATAATCAAATTATAGTAGCTCAAGTCCCCTGCTGCAGCATGTTTTACATAGACAAAAATCATCTAGGTTAATAAAAAGTCCATGCCAAGACAAAGCTATACTTTAAAAAAAAAAACCCCAACTCCTTCCCCTTTTATGTTCCAGATTAATAAAAAGACCTTTCTTCTAGTTTCTGTTAAAGATGAGTCATGTAAGAAAGAAAATTTAATTTTAAAATACTTATTAAAGGAATTTGTGATATTACTAATAAATTAAAAATATAAATTTTCACTTTAAAACTACAATGTAAGACGACATGAACTGAAATACAGCGCACACAAAGGAATACATTCTATGTACTTAGTTTATATACTTTTTCTTCTAGTTGCAATTCTGCACGCTACTCTACACCCTCACAGCAATAGTCCCTGAAGGACTATGTGCTTCCAGACCCCTTATAAATTGGCTTTTTGACCCTAGTCACACAGACTGCAACAGATAAACTGTAATGGATAAAATATAAAATGTGAAATGTAATTGATATTGAAATACTCATTCAAAGAATTCACATAACTTGTTGACAGAGCACTCGTGTTAACTAACTACTGAAGGTGCCCTTGACTAGTGTATCTCCTGCACTCAGAAAAGCTGGCTGAGGTGTGTCAGTCTCAAAGAGTGAAGGGTACCAAGCCCCTCCCACCCGGACCCACTGGATGTTCTCCTCACCTACCAGTTTATCCATTATCTCAATGTTCTAATTATCATCTCCAGATGGAAATATATAGTTTTAAAGATTTACTAAGTAGAACTGGAGTGAGTCACAGCTTGAAAGATTCTCTTTACTACAACTTGCAACTATAATGATACATAAACTATATCTGCATATGCATAAATAGTATGGTCATTTGGAGGAGTTAAATCGGGTTTAAAACAAGGAATTTTAGCTATAAAAACTCTCAAAGTTATGTATTATCTTTAGTGATAACATTTTAATATTTAGTAGCATTTTACTTAAAATCCCATATTTTACAGCCACAGATAGTATTAATAAGCCACAGAAAGTTATAAAATTCACTCCTTTTACTTAAATCATTTTCTTTATTCCAGTCATTTTCCGAGTAATGTTTTGCTTATTGTTAAAATTTAGGAAAAATTCAAAATTTAAATTATACACACACCAAAGGGAAACAGAAAATTCACCAGTATGGGGAGGTAGGTAAACACTTTCGTACTATACTCCTCTCTTACTTTTTAAAATTCTCTTTATTTTTAGTAATGTACAGTTTTATGTCTATGTACTGGTATGTGCACGTGAGTCCAGGAACGCCCGAAGAGGCACTGAATCCTCTGGAACTGGAGTTACAGGCGATTCGGGGCCACTCGTGGGTGCTGAGAACCAAACGCAGGTCCTCGGCAAGAGCAGCAAGCACTCGTAAGCACTGGGCCACCTCTCCAATTCCGTTCTCACTTTCTAATTAGGGCACTTCAAGAAACAGGGAAGGTGGGGCGGGTAGAAGAGTGTGCTCTGGGCTAGGGAGAAGGCTCAGTAAGTAAGCTTGCTTGTTGTGCTGATTTCACACGCTCACTATGCACGTAAAAAGGCCGGCCATGGCCACACCTGCCTGTGACCCCGCACTGGGGTCGGGCAGTTAGGCCAGGGAACTTCAAACAGCGGGCTTGGGTTCAGTGAGCAGCCTATCGAGGGAGTCTGTAGGAAGCTGACACGGATATTCTCCTCTGCTCTCTATACATATACAACACACACAATTTTTTTATTTGAAAATTTCTTTGAAACCCACCTCCTCCCAAATGAACAAGTCCTCACAAATATTTAATCTTATTAAACTAGTTTAATTCTCTCATCCAAGTCTCATCTTCAGTTTGATAAGTGTGTGTCATCAAGAACAACAAATTCTTTAACTTTCTAAGATGACATTTTCTGTATGTCTGGGGAAAATAATATCCATTTCATGAGGCCACTAAAATGTTGAGTGAACTAACTCATAACGACTTCAAATTACACTCCTCCTGCAAGCACCGGCAGACAGCAACCGGGGCCCAGGTGTGTCTCCAGTGACCAGGGGCTCATTAGCTGTGAAGGAGATTAACTAGGTCTCATGTGATCTTCAATCAGGCAACGTTCCTACTATGTATTCTCAACTTTGTAGTTTCACTTAAGAATGGCTAAACTAAGTTTGAAAATCACTGCTTTGAAGTTTTTGAGATTCTGGAGGGAATTATTATATGGCTAATGCCACCATTTTCTCCTTTCTTTAAAAGATTTTAATGTATGTGCACAGGTGAATCATTCTTCAGCAGTGATTCACCCTGCTCTCAGAGGTGGGTAGTGGGGGGTGGTGGTCTCACTGGAATCTGGGCTGGCCCACCTAGGAATCCCTGAACTTGCCTCTCTCCACCACTGCAGTGCTGGTCACAGTATTCTGGGGATCAAACTGAGGTTCTTAGGCTTGCAGAGCAAGTACCTGGCACATGGGACTAGTTCCCCAGATCAATTTGCCTTTGACAGCCTAGTGTAATACTTGATATATAGCAGATATTTACTAACAATTTATCTGAGTTTTTAAAATAACTATCATATTATTGATGTTAATAGTAATTTTCAAATAAACTGGTATAACAAAGTCATCTACATATTGAATCACCAGTCACTGTGTTAGGTACTAGTAATTAAAATTAAAAAAAACCCCACAAACTCTAATCAAAACATGAACCTCAGTATAGTATAGTCTCAGTATATTTTTAAAGGATACTAATAAATCAATACAGAAATTAGGGGAGAAATTCTTCTTAAATTAAGATCAATGGACACTGAGAAAAATAAGGACAGGTGAAGCGGTGTTATGGCATTTGGGCTGAAATTTGAAGGGTAAATTAATGTGATTTGATGCACATATGTAACTGGATGAGATGGCTAATATGAACATTTGAATGGTTAAAACAGCGATGCAGGGAAATGAGAAGAAAGGTACACTGGGTAGATGAATAATGCATTCCAAAGCATACTGTAGGAAGACTATGGCAACCAAAAGACAAGGATCGTCTAAAGATAGACACCTGTATGCTGGCTAAGGGTTCTAGACTTCATAATCCCTAGACAGTTGGGAAAGGTTTATGAGAGGCAAAGAACCAGATTCACATTTTAGAATAATTACTCTAGTAAAGTTAAGACTATGCGAATATGTAAGAAGCTGGAGGCAGCAGGCTGGCTGATTATGAAAGACAAGGGCTGGGAGAGGAACAGAAGTGAACTGTAATTATCCATCCTTATTTCTCACTGTATTTAGTGGTTTTAGACTGCACCAAAGGGAAGATCAAACTGGGAGCCGACAGGCCCACTAGGGATGGATGGACAGACTGAGGTTCCCTTAGCCTACAGCCATCAGACCCACTTTCCCTGGAACGCACTGTCTCCACTGCTTCATGTGTCATCTGCAGCTGCTTTTACACTGTGACAACGGAAGAGTCACACTTATGGAGAGACAAAACCATTATTTGATCCTTTATAGGAAGTCTGCTGATCTACCTTACAACATGAACTGTTTGCGAAGTAGTGTTTCCAAGCTCAATTAAAACAAAACAAAACAAAAAACTAGAAATTACAGTTATTGACCAGTGAGGATAGAGAAGAGGTAGCAAGAGGTAGCCAGAAATAGACCCATCATGTACTACATAGCATTCAGAAAGTTTTTTAATACAAAAAGCTGCATTGAAAATAAACATTCCTGTTGGGCTGGAGAGATGGCTCAGCAGTTAGAACATCTGTTGCTCTTGCAGAGGACCTAGGTTCAGTTCCCAGCACCCAAATTAGGTGGCTTACAACCACCTGTAACTCCAGTTCCTTTCTAAGGGATCCAATGCCCTCTTCTGGTCTCCATGAGCACCAGGCATGTACATGGTACAGACATACTCACAGGTACTCACACATACACATAAAATATAAATAAATAAATCTTAAAAGAAATTATTGCTAAAAATACCTGTCCTTGATATAAGCCAGCATCCTGAATGGTGCTATCTGGTTTATTCAGCGGCTCAAATGTATTACTCATATACTTGTTCCACAATCTAGTCTCCTTTTCATCTGGAATATTGAAGATTTTTCTTATTTCCTTTTCAATTGTATCTAAGATTTAAAAAGGGAAGATATGTAAATACAATATATTAAAAAATAGATATATTAGTTACAAAGTACTAAATGCTTATCAGACTACATTATAAATTTATAAAGTACAAAATGAAATATAAAATATACAAAAATAAAAACGTTATAAATTTATAAAAAATAAGGATAAAATAGCAAAAACAGAAAAACAAATACATAAGAAATAATAATAAAAAAGCTTTGTCTTAAGGCCAGCTATGTGTTTTTAAAGGGGAAATGGTAATTTTAACACTGACAGATGCTTATTTGAGAAATTTAAGACTGCAAAAGGCGCTAGAAACTAAAATATGATAAGACACCAACAATAAGAAATATTCATATTCATAATGCAATCAGTTTATAAATATCATACATTCAAGAATGAGAACATATTCCCAAGACATGCTAAGGGATTATGTGTAGGATGGCAAAAACAAATCCAAACATCCCATCTTTTCCTTACAGATTTCTTTTTAAATAAAGACGACTGTTACATTTATGTAGTGTGTGTTTATTTGTGTGTGAGGAGGTATGTGCAGGCATGGGTATCATCATCAGAGGAATGAGTTGGTTTCCACCGCGTGAGCTCCAGGGACGGAAGTGAGATTGTCAGGCATGGTCGCAGGTACAGCTCTACCTGCTGAGCCGTACTGCCGGCCTAATACATCCACAGTTTTCACCTGAGCAACTCTAAGAGGAGGCAGTAATTACTGAGATGGGAAGAATGTGAAGTAGGCTTTATGAGCAAGGGAAGAGAGTTTAACTTTATGTATAATTAAGATTCTTATGAGACATAAGTGAAGATATAAGGTGGCTGAAACTGGAATTAAGAGTGTTGGGTTGAACAATAATAAAATATTTTAAGCCAGGAAATCAGGTGAAATTAATCAAAAAAAAAAAAAAAAGGGGGGGGGCCCATGGTAGAGGAGGCCAAGCATGGAGATCCCAGTATTTTCAGATCTAGGCTATGGTGGTGTTTCTAGACAAGTGGGTTCAGAAGTGGGCAATGAGGAGCTCACCAGAGACCACGGAGAAAGAGTGGAGAGAGTTAGCACTGGTGCAGTGTGCCCAAGAGTAAGAGTGCAGCTGAGGCCAGAAAGCACGTGCTACCCGCGATGGAGGTACAGCTACGGGAACGGCAGTCACCCCTCCACACCCCTTAGCCTGCTGCCCTGCCCATCTGACTAATCTAGTCTAGAACACCAAACAAGAAACCAGCAGCAAGATAACGGAGGTGAAAGACGGCCATGGAAGCAGAGGCTGGAATCGTGTATCGTCAAAACCACTGGAGACGGATTTCACGGACTAAGCATTTCTTTTTCCACGTGTCACTCAGACCTTATTACTTCAGGAAGGAAACAACCATTTTTAAATATACATAACAAAAAATTATGAAAAACATTTCTGGTAGGAATATTTACTTAAGAATGTCAACCAATTTTATTAATTTTCATTAAGAAAGCATTTTTAGAAGCCTTAGGAGAAATTATGTCCTTAGTGGTTAGCCTTAAAACATAGGAAGTTGAATTTTCTCTCTTACTGGGATACACTCAGTGCCCAATTACAGCAATTTAGAGTAAAACAGTCAAAGCCAAGTATTTCTGCTCGAATATTCTAAACTATCTCAAACTCTCTACTGTTATCATTTTACCATCATGTGGGTAGTATGAGCTGAAAAAAATTATTTTATTAATTTAGCAACAACACAAAAATGTGAATCAATTTCCTAATTCTGGCTAGACAATTTAATAAGAGCTTTTAAAAAAGTCAGTTTCAATCAAGTTTCTTTAAAGACCAAAAGGATAACACACACACACACACAACACACAGCCATCTTTTGCTTATCCTAATTCCAAGCAGTTTGAAAAAGCATCCAGTTAACGATAAGAAATTTCAAGTTACCAAAAATTCAGTTCACTTACTATATTAAGACATATATTCAATGCCTGCACCCTTAAAAAGTATTAGGATATCTAAAGTATATGGGTTAAAAATCTATGTCAGATCAAACTTTCTGAAACAGATAATTCTGATTAAATTACATTTATCCCCTTTAAATTTTTATTTAGTACTTAATGTAAAAACTTCCTAATGGTTGTTTTCAATGCAGAAATTAAAATCAGTTGCTGATTTCCTGAGCTTTATAAGTAAAATAATTATCTAAAAAAGGTTCTGGCTGGGCGGTGGTGGCGCACGCCTTTAATCTCAGCACTCGGGAGGCAGAGCCAGGAGGATCTCTGTGAGTTCGAGGCCAACCTGGGCTATCAAGTGAGTTCCAGGAAAGGCGCAAAGCTACACAGAAAAACCCTGTCTCGAAAAACCAAAAAAAAAAAAAAAAAAAGTTCTGATGGACTCAGTTTTTCTATAACATTTCTATTAAAATAAAAATTTATAACTTGCTAGAGATTTTATAATTATTAATTATACTAACATATAGTTATTTATATTCCAACTGGCTATGGATCTTTATAGAGTCAGAAGGTGATTATGTAGGTTGCTCAGAGAGAAGCTTCCAACAGCCTTCCCCAGCCATGATCTGCCTTGGATTGCAATAATGTAAGGATACCTAGCAGCTTCAGGAGCCAATAGCCATCCGGTTTGATTTAAGGCCCGCTTGGTAGAGGACACTCAGGCTTGGTACCGTAAACCTGGCTAAGATCCTGTGGCAGGAGAGGCCACAGATCCCACAGGATGACTGACTACTACTATTTCACGAACCTGGTCTAGTTGCCCTCTAAAAACTCGGCTTATCACCATGGTTCCAATGCAGCCATCACCCCTCACTTACTTTCAATCAGTGTTCTTAGTGACTAGCTCAAATTAGGAACACTTACACAGTGCAGAACTTCACAATTTACTAATCTCTCTGGCATGCTGAGTTCTGCATGTTACGTTTCTCTATTATTTGTTGGTATTTTCCAACAAGATGACTATTATTACTATCTTTTAAATAAATACTTTATGTGCAGATAAATGTGTTCATATTTGTTAACACTGTGTATTATAAAGGTACCAGAAGATAGGCTAATGGGGGTGAATATGTCATTATATCTCACACATGTATGAACATTTCATAACTAAACCTACTGGCATGTATAATTAATATGTACTAACTCAAATTTTAATGTGTTCAAGTCACTGTCACTATTTATACAGAGCTATAGAGAACTGCGTCCACGGGTAGCCGAGACTGTCTTTCAGGCTCACCCATGAATAGACTCCTCAATATGCTAGAGCAACACCAAGTCTGCTGCCTTAGCTACTTACCTGGAATAAAGGAAATACCAGTTGACTTTTTTCTCCATACTTGACCAATTTTTATTTAACATGGTCCACTTAAAGTTCTACTTAAATTTATATTTTGTTGTCACAAACATGGCATGCAATTTTTCAAATGCTAATTTTAAATTTTGATTTTCTTAAATTAAAAGTGGGACAAACATTGAACTCATTTAGTAAAGTAAGAAACAAGCCAGTCAGCTCTAAGCTGAGCTTCTACAGTGTTGATGACTAAGCCCCAAGCAGGTTGGCAGCACAGCCCACCAGAGCCAACAGTCAAGCACCCTGGACAGGCTCGCATTACCTATTGTGTCCGCTTTGCTAAATCTCCGAGTTACCACGTTGTTCATGTTTCCATTTTCACAGAGCTTCAATTCTGTGAGATAGACTTCTACTTTGCAGTGCTTCACAAACATACCCTGCTCTACCACCTTCAAGACAAAAACCACACCAATTAGTAGGAATTCTATCAATGGAGTTCTTTCTCATAGTAATACATATCTTTAACAAGGCTTCAGAAAAACTACAGATATCCAATCAAATAAGATTAGCTATTATAAACAATTTAAACCATTAACAGTTTAAAAAGGCATTCTACTAATTTGTGAATATTTTGGTATGCAATAACCAATAAGTTTACCGGTTTAATTTTCTCTATATGATTTTCACATACAGCTCTAAATAAAGATATAGATAGATGCCTACCTTTTTAACAGTGCTCTGACACCAAAAACTTACAAAGCTGTGTGTAACTGTATCCACAAGGTCTGTTATTACTATTTATGTTAAAATATGTCTTTTAAAATGACCGCTCCGTCCCTGTAATGGATACCTTCATTTCATTCTAAAATGACTTTGTCTGACCTTTAAATGGGTTCTTAGTAAGTCTATGCAGCACACAAGCAAAATAAAGAAAAGCAGTCAAGCATGCAAGTAATAAAGCATAGGACGGTAAAATATTTACACACTAGGTTCACCTTTTAAATAAATGTATTCCTTTTGCTCCTCTAAAGGTTAACTGTAGGATTTCAGTCATGAACACTGTTTCTGAAAATAGTAATTGGCCTGATATGTGATACATTAGACAGATATGGCAAAAGGGAGGCTCCAAAGGCTTACATGAACCAGCAGGCTCATATCAAAGTCAACACAAGAATCACCAGCGCCTCTTTCACTTTCAGGAAAAAATGTTTCAACCCAGGGCTTTCAAATAGTTTATCTTGAGTTTCCTGTATAATCCAGCATGACTTTACTTTTTCAGCTATGTTCTTTCTCTTAATCATGTTTGTTACAAATCTTTATAACAGTTTTACAGACTCTATGTCTCACATTTCAATAACTTAACTCATAGTGCAAAACTTTTAAGTTCTACATAAGATGCTTTAGTCCTCTTAACACAGAGTTATGTTATTTAAGAATGAAACAATATACTGAGTTCCTACAAGATTTTCTTGTAGCTATTTGATAATAAAAAACTAGGAATCAAATATTCTTACCAACAGAAACTTTGGGACTGGGACTCATATCGGAGTGAAATCCTAAGCTACTATACACTGTAATCTTATTAGCTCCACTAATGTCCACATTACAGTATTTCTTCATTAAAATTACATCTCCTTTTCTTAACCTGAGAAAACTGATTGGCACTTATTGTAAAGGTCCTCCTAAGAATGACTTGACCCATTCCCTGTTCTTTAGTTTTTGTAGAAATGGAAAAAATTTCACTATGTAACCGAAGCTAGCCCATCTCCACCTCCCAAATATTGAATATTGAGATCAAGGGCACATGTCAGCAGGAAGCATGTCTGGCTTAACTATTTTTTCAGTTGTATTTTTATTATCATTTAGTTTGAATTTTGATCTTTATCTCTTCTCTGGTTTCCATTCTTTAAAATTATACTATTATAAATAGGTAGGGGATCATGTGTCTCTGTTACGAATTTCTACCTTAATCCCACTAGGGACAGACAGGAAACACACAGGATAACTTTCATCAGTTGTCATTTTGGGAGTTTGTCTGATGACCTAGGACTTGATCAGTTTAACTGTGAATATTATTAAGATAATGACATCCTTAATTCCTAACAGGTCTTGTAAACTATTTCGGAGAGACACATCCCCGACTGTGCCATGGCGATGTTATAGTCCAAGCTTGGCTCTCACATGATCAAGATCATGTTTTAAGCCTCGCTGTATTAAGTACTCCGTCTTTAGCTTATTATCTTTATACACAGACTACAGGCAGTACAAGTAGATACTAGGCACCACTTTGTCAAATCACCACATTCATGATACTCTTTTTATCTTTCAGTTTATAGTAGAGACATTTGCAACAAAGACCATATTCCCACAGTTTCCAAGGTTTTCCTCCGTTTCCTTTAAGTCTTTAGTGGTACCCTCCTCACACCCCAAATTCTCCTTAGTCTGCTCATGGTTTTTTAGGCTTTTATTGATACTCATGTCTCATACCTTCTGATCACTGTATAGCCAAAGCCACCACAGTTCCTGTTAGTTAATACTACAGCATCCAGGTACCTAAACGAGTATGAACAACCTACTGATACATGATGAATTATCTTAAGACTTCACTAACTACAAACATCTCACATCATCTCTGAGGGTCAAAAATCTGTGAGCAACTTATCTGGGTTGAGATTTCTCATGAAGTTTCTGTCAAGCTTTGGGCTATGGCTTCAGTTATCTAAAGACTCATTTAGAACTGACAGTCCACTTTACTAGCTGGGTGGGCCTCTTCTTAGAGTACACACAATGTCCTTGACATGTGCAATTCAGTTCCCCATGACAGAGACACCTGAGACATACACTCCAAGATCTTCCCTAACCTAATCTTAAAATATGTCCCACCAGGTGTAGAAGAACACACCAGTATTCTCAAACTAAGGGATTAGCATCAGAAAATACACAGGAGGATAAAGAACTTAGGTCTTCCTATTTTCTTCTCCTTTTTGAAGGATCCTTCCTTTGGTCACAGAATTCTGGATTGGCAGTTATTTTCTTGTAGTGTACTGAAAATAGTACACTTCTTCCTGTCTTCAGTGTTTCTGCTGGGAAATCACTTCCTTGACTTACTCTTTTGTGAGGACAATGTATCTTTTTGTCTAACAATGCTGGGGAATATCTTTTTCTCTTGTTGACTTTTGATTATGTGTTTGCATTACTCCAGTCTGAGAATCGGTGTTTCCTGACTCTGTAATTTGGTGTTTTTTTGTTTGGGAACAACTCTGCTATTCCCGCTTCAGGCATTAGTTCTACCTGCTCCACTCCCTGTCTCCCCTAAGACCCCAATGATAGGTACTTACTTACACTGCATCCAGTCACTATAACACACTCAACTTCACTTTCAAAGACATTCTGTTCCTTAGTATAAATTCTACATTGCATATTTCCTACTAACATCAATTGGCCTAAAAATTCACTTTCAGCTCTCTTTATCGTTATACTCAAATGTAATGTATATTATTTATATTATTAGTTTCAGAAGCATCGGCGTCTTGTTTAATAGTTTTGCACTACTTTCCAATTATTTATTTTTTGAGCATACTAAGTCTACTGTCACCACTAACTGTTCTTACGAGTCTATCTCTGTTGTTCGAATCTTAGATGGTCTTTTACTATAAAACCCGGAGCCAGATACTGGGGTGAAAGCTGAAAGATCAGAGAAGCAGAGCAAGCTACAGCCACCACGTATTACCTCACTGACTCCATGAATCCTCTGAGTCTTCACGCAAAAGGGTCTCAGCTGAACTGCCTTAGTTCCTGTTTCCTCACACCTTATATACCTTTCTCTGCCCTGCTGTCACTTCCTGGGATTAAATGCATGTGTGCTTCCCAGTCCTGGGATTAAAGGTGTGTGCCACCAGACCTGAGTCTGTTCCCAGTGTGGCTTTGGATTCACAGAGATCCAGACGAACCTCCAGAGTGATAGGATTAAGTGTGTGTGCCACCACTGCCTGGCCTCTATGTCTAATCTAGGGGCTGGCGCTGTCCTCTGATCCCCAGGAAAGTGTGTTAGGGTACACAGTGTATCACCACATAAATATGCTACTTCTCCAGTTTGGCTCACTGCATATCTTGCTTATTTCCCTGTTTTCTGGTTAGCTTGTTTTTATGGCTCAGTGCCTAACACTAAAGTTAGTCGAAAAGTTTAAAACTCTAGTCCCCAGAACATGGTTACTTTTATATCTGTATCACAGATCCTTTAACATAACCAGAGATTGATACAGTTCAGAGCTGGATCAGACTCTGTAAGAACAGTTACTGTGTTTATTTCTTGAAGCACTGTGATATCAGACTCTGTAAGAACAGTTACTGTGTGTATTTCTTGAAGCACAGTTTCTCTCTATAGGTAATTAAGGGCAGAGGAAAATGCAATTTCTTAGACCTACTGTTTTCACTTAGAGGAAAGATGCATCTCTAATAAGGATTCCAGGCAATTTTATGTATATTAAAGTTTGAAAATTACACGTTGAAAGATTTACATTCACATTATTAAGAACAAATGTATGACCTAACAGGCTTCTCAAATTTTTCTTTATAAGTATGTGAACTTTCCATGATTCTTTTTCTTTTCACTTTAATTTCTTTAGTTTTTGAAAACCAAACTTCAGTAAGTCCTTTTAAAAAGACTAAAATTTTTAAAAGGCAACGAATTTGTTGGCGGACCTATTACCATACTGAAACTTGTAGCGTGCACTGTGCTCTGAGATTAAGGAAGAAAACGTAATACACATTCAAATTTTCCTTTAAGAAGGGAGTTTTGGGGTTAAGACAGGGTAACAGGGTGAATACATTCACAATACAATGCATATCCATCCCTATGAAATTATGAAAACGATTTAAAGGAAGAAGTGTTTTTCAAACACTGAAGCTGTTCTTACAGTTCCATTTCACAGGTAAAGTCGATCTTTAACAAGTCAGAGCACTCAATTTCCAAGAATGACAAAACAAACAGTCCTACATTTCCATTATACAAATCAAAATAAATTATTCAATAGACATTTAAGTTCAGCTTATTTACCTTGAAATTTGGTATTCTACTAGAGTACTGCCCATTTTAGTTCCAAAAAATGTTCATTTTTAGCAGGGCGGTGGTGATGCACGCCTTTAATCCTAGCACTTGGGAGGCCAAAGCAGGATCTCTGTGAGTTCAAGGCCAGCCTGGTCTACAGAATGAGATCCAGGACAGGCTCCAAAGTTACACAGAGAAACCCTGCCTCAAAACACCAGAAAAAAAAAAAAAAGTTTATTTTTAGTATTTCTAGACTATAATTGTAAAATTAAAGATAAAGGATTGAAAAATTTACATTTTCATTTTTAAAGTATTTTATGTTGTAAAAAACATTTCATCAACATTTAATTTATTTTTAAAATTGTCGTAGAAAAAAAGCAGTGTGCCATATAGAAAACTGGCCCCTTCTTTTTGTCCTGTCTTCAACTGTAAAATAAAGATATTAATTCTGTGTTAACCAGTAATCATAGGTACTGTCCTAGGAATGGTGGGAATGCAGTTAAGTTTCTGTTCATGTTATCAGCTATTGGTATCCAGTGCATAGGAATGTTTTCCTGGCTTTTCTCCTAAGATATGTTAAGAAGGCTTCAGAATACATCAAATTACCAATGTGAGCTACTTAAAATATATGTATACTCAGTTACTCTCAAATATACCTTTCTTGCTATTGGCTCTTGGCCTTCCATCAGCGTGTACCAGCTGACGAGTTTATTCCAGCCCTCAGTTGGCAACAGTATATAATCCAACTCATCAATAAGGTGCTCCTTAAGTGACTGGGCATCGCCATCTACAAAGGGAAAAAATAAACTTAGTACAGAACAGGAACAGTACACATCTCTGAATACATGGTTTCACATACTACAAACTACTGAAACTCACAAAGGTGATCTGAAGTATTTACAATAATAAATCCTGAAAAAGAAAAAACAAAACAAAACTCCAAGAACGTTCAAATCAATATACTTAAAAATAAGCTGTTGTTGCCGGGCGGTGGTGGTGCACGCCTTTAGTCCCAGCACTCGGGAGGCAGAGCCAGGAGGATCTCTGTGAGTTCGAGGCCAGCCTGGGCTACCAAGTGAGTTCCAGGAAAGGCGCAAAGCTACACAGAGAAACCCTGTCTCGAAAAACTAAAAAAAAAAAAAAAATAAGCTGTTGCCTGAAAAAGTTTCAAGGTGCTACTAGTCAACCAGTAGTGTTAAAATGCATAATTTTTCTTTGGTTCCTAAAATACTAATACATTAATATTAGCTAAGACACCAACAGAAGAGGTTCTTCAAATATTTTGAGTGTCAGTGATTCACTCACACAACAGTGGCGGGTACCAAACAGTAAGTGTAGAAAATTCATGAGTAAGTCAACAGCTCTTTTCTTATTTCTTTTTTGTGACAGGGTCTCATGAAGAGGCCCAGGCTGGCCTAGGGTTTGCAGTTCTCCTGTCTTAAGTCTCCTAAGTGTTAGTACAGGCATGCTACTAGCCGGTATCAAAGAGTGACCTGCTATGCACTAAATCAACAACCTATCAAATGACTCCAATATACATAAGCTTGGAAACCATGACAAAATTTTTAAGTTGTACTGTAAAGCATCTACACTATTCCAGAAGACCCATAATCGGGATTCATTCCCAAATTTGAAATGGTGGTTGTGTAGATGTAATTTTAATTCTGAAATTCTTTAAAATATCTAAGCTAAACTCAGAACTCTTGTATAATTCAGGGCAGAGACCTAGGAATAATTTCCTTTGTTAAAGCAATGTCACTGTCCCATTGTGGGACTCATTTATTAATTAGTCATTTGAGATTCCAAAGTACGGAAAGAGAACTAGCTCAACGAGTTATAACTAACCTAAGGGGGAGTTTCTGGACCTGAGTTGATTTTAATCATCAAAGGAAGGAACATTGTTCTCTGTGGCATTTCTATGATGAGAATGTTCTATTCTTGCAGGAAAAAAGCTCAAGAGGGTAATAGAATTATTATTCTTTCAGAATTCACCTGTGGGTTTCTGAACTTCAAGAAAGCTCTATTTTATATAGAAACAAAAAATGAAAAAGTCAGAATTTTATATGATCTTTGATAGTAGAAGTGAAGCGAGTACTAGCTAAACATGATGACATGCATCGTGCATGCATGGTCTATGCACACCTGTGTCATGGCACACCTACAGAGAAGCACAACTGTGCTTCTCTCCTTCCATCACACGGGTCTTCAGGCCTAGAGACAAGTACCTTTACCCGCTGAGCCACCTTACCAGCCCTGAGGACTAACCTTAAACACAGGCTTTTAAACTGTGGTTGTAAAGTGTAAATTGTCAGCAAATACAATTTGGAATATGTTTTCTGAAACTGTGAAACTGAGGAAATTTACATATACTAAGTAAGCAAAATGTACTGAGACATCACACAGCAGATAACTATGGCAGATACACTATTGTGAATTCCCTAACCAATCTTGCAAGATAGATGTCTTTGTATAAGAATATATCCAGAGGGACTGGAGAGATGGCTAGTGGTTAAGAGCACTGGCTGCTCTTCAGAGGTCCTGAGTTTAATTCCCAGCAACCACATGGTGGCTTACAACCATCTATAGTGGGATTTGATGCCCTCTGCTGGATTAAAGGTGTATACATGCAGATAGAGTGCTCACATACATAGAATACATAAATCTTTAAAATAAAAAATAAAACAAGAGTATATCAGAGCCAGTGAGTAACCTGCCCTGGGTAATCATATAAAATTAAAGGCAATATGGAGCATTTTATTCTAGAAAACCATGCCATTAGCTGGGTATGGTGGTGGTGCACACCTTTAATCCCAGCACTTGGAAGGTAGAAATGGAGGTCATCAGCTATATTGTATGTTCTGTTCAAAGGCCATCCTGAGCTACGGGGAAGAAAGGGGAGGGACAAAATCTTGCTATTTTATTCTAGGTTTATTTTTTTCAGAGTCACCTTAAGAAGTAGGTAGCCCCATTTTCTTTAATAAATAGACCAAGAGATGGTAAGTTGCTCAAGGTTCTATATACAGAAATTTGCAGAGACTGAATTCAAACATGAATGTTGTTTATTCTAACTCCATATATTTTGCCATGTAACACAATCTAGCCTGAAGATCTTGGGAAAATTCTAAAATCAAGACTTACATGTTATTTTTTTACAATAGCTGAGTTTAGGTATATAGTTTGATCATGTGACAGAATTCACATAATACTATATTTGGTAGACAGAATAAAATGACCACTTTATCTTTTTGTATGTGGAGAACACCTTCAAATTAAAGAGAAGGGATTTGTTTTTGATTTATCACTTCTGTATCTAACAATATATAATTGCTGAACAATAAACTGTACATAAATTATAAATTACACAAACTGGTTATTTTTAAAACAGATGGGTAAATTTATTAGGCTAGTATACTTGTAGAGATTCCAACAGTTGTCAGTCATGGGCTAAGAGCAAAAACCACATCCTTTTGGGGAGGGAGGTTTGAGATAGGGTTTCTCTGTGTAGCCTTGGCTGTCCTGGAGCTGTGTAGACCAGGCTGGCCTTGAACTCACAGAGATCCACCTGTCTCTGCCTCCTGAGTGCTGGGACTAAAGGTGTATGACCACCACCACCCAGTTTAACTAAAACCACATCCTTTTATAGGACAGAACACCCTGTAATCACAAATTTTAAGTCTGAATTGTGCATATTTATGCAGACAGTCCTGCTTGTCCCCTGAATGATTAGCTAAAATGTAGGTTTATTTCTACTTGTCTTTTGATCTTTATAGTCCTATCTCACATTTGTCAAGCATGGCCTAAATGACATTCATGAGCTCACTCAGGTCTTTCAAAAAATGGCTGAAGAGCGAAAACAGCTGACCAGTCCGAAGAGCACCTCTGGTCTGAATGCACCATTCATTTTGTTCTCAAGGACAGGTAGTAGTAGAAGCAGAAGATCCACTACTAGATTCCTCATCATTGTGTACAAGGTCATTTCCTAGGGCACAATCTTCTTGTGCAATACAAAATGTGACAAACACAGTACCTAGCTGTCCCAGCCGCTAGGACTGTTTTCAAGACTATCCTGTTCCTCCTTCCAGGTCTCTCAATCTTCCACCCTCAGCTTTTTCTCTACAGCTCCTGCTTCTCTTTTCCTGCAGGGACTTCCAGAGTCCTGCGGTAGTGCTGGTGCAAAGGAGAATGTGTCCCACGCCACGAAATATGTGGGCAAAGAGGGGTAAGTTCTGTCCCATCTACCAACTGTGAAATCACCACTCCTAGCAAAAGGATACTACATCTATCACCTAAAGTTCCCTCGCGGCTCTCTGTAATTTCTTCTCTCGGCTTGACTGGATTCTACTATTATGGTAATCATTACCTATGTTTTACAACTAATTTATATTTCCTAGAATTAATTTTCTATAATTGTACATAAAATAATATGCCCTCCTTTTGTTTGGCTTTATTTATACTACTTTGAAATCTATAGATACGTCTGTCTATCAGCAATTTATTAATTTTTAAGTGCTAAGTAGGCTTCATTATATGAATACACTGTCATTTGCTTATCCATTCAGAGATGTTCACAGGCATTTGGGTTGCAGACAAGTTTTTCTATTAAAAACACTATATGGATATTACAATGGAACTTTTCTTATGGGTAAATGCTTTCATTTCTCTTAGGTAAATACCCAGCATAGTATGACTGTGTACTATGGCTAATAGATGTCCAATTTAAATCTATTTGCTCTTCATCCTTGACAGCGAGTGTCAGGAGTGATTCTTTTATATCTTAATTAAATCATACATGCATAACAGCACCACATTATGGTTCTGTATGTCAAACTCAGGACTGCATGTTCTACCACTGTGCCACATCCCTGGTCACCTGTCACTGTGACTTTAATTTTCATTTTTTAAAGACTTCTAATTATGTGTATATGTGTGTCTGTGCCACGAGGCATCCAATGCCCATGAAGTGGAAGTTGCAGGCAGTTGTGAGCTGACCTTGTTGGTGCTGGGAACTGAACCTAGATCCTTTACAAGAGAAGCACACCCTTTCAACTGCTGAGCCATCTCACCAGCCTCTAATCTCTTCATTTCTTTCATACTTATAAAGCTGAACATTTATATCTATTCTTTTGGAAAACTATGAGTATGCACAAACTGTAGGGGCATATTCATGTGTGTGTCGTTACATGGTTACATGTGCATGTATGTAGAGGCGGGGTTTGACTGGGCGCTTTTACTCAGGAGCTGACCACCTGATTTTAAGACAGGGTGCCTCACTGCTCCTGAGACTTACCATGTCGACTAGGCTGGCTGGCATAGGAATTATAAGAGGACATCACAAGTCTGGCTGTTTATATGAGGATGAACCTCAGTCTTTATCCCTGTGCAGTAACAACTTCACTGTACCTCCCCAACCCATCTTTTGGTAAAGTAAAGATTTATTCAGTTTTTTTGCCTACTTTTTCACTGGGCTTAATGTTTTCTTAAAAGTAGGTTTTATTCTTCTGTGGTAAAAGAATATACTTTTTATGATTTGAGACAAGTTTTATGATTCAGAATATGGTCCATTTAGGTAAATGCTATTCATATACACCCATCAGACTGGCTACAAATTCGGAGAGTCTTTCTAATTTTTTGTGGGTGTGTCTTTTCTTTCACATGCAAATTATCAATTGCAAGGACTCTTTTTTTTTTTTTTTAACCTTTTAACCTTATGCAGGATCCATCAATCTCTTCCTCTAATTCCCAACTTACACACCACAGGTCGGAGGCATACTCTACTCCTGTTCCTTCCTTCTGCAGAAAACATCATGGTCTGAGCCTTCCTTCATGTACAGCCACTGCCTCTTTTATTTGTAAATTCCCTATCTAACTAAGCTGGCCCCAGTGGCATCCCGAGTGAGACACAGCAGAAAGCAGCCCTTCACACCGGCACATGGAAATGGACTCACTCTGTTCCTCTACTGTGGGGAACAAGCATCCTGTCCTGAAATACCTCCTAATACTGCAGGGCTGCGGCAACTATTGCAAGCTCCTTACTCCCTTTCCTTGTTCTTCACTTCCAGGCATCCAAACACACCAGTTCAGACATAGAACCCAGTCACTTGGCTGTTACCAACAAGCCACGATGCCGGGAGGGGCCTCACTCCTCACTAGCCTTCCTGGCAGAGAAGCCTGAGGTTTTTACTTCTCTTCATCTCACAAAGTATTTTGAGTACAGCAGTCAACCATGTATTTTCCTGTTAAAAAGCTCTCGATATCAGAACTAGCATGGTCCATGTGAGGTAACACACCAGCAAGTTGGCTATGTGTGGCACTTAGAGGCTAACTGCTATGGATGATTGATTGATAAAGTGCTGATTGGCCAGTAGCCAGGCAGGAAGTAAGGGCAGGCCAAGGAGAGAGGAGAATTCTGGGAAGTGGAAGGCTGAGGCACTGCCAGCCACCGGGATGAGAAGCATGATGTTAAGATACCGATAAGCCACGAGCCAAGGGGCAAGGTATAGATTTATAGAAATGGGTTAATTTAAAATATAAGAACTAGATAGCAAGAAGCCTGCCACAGCCATAAATAAGTCTCTGTGTGTTTACTTGGATCCCTGCGGCTGCGGGACTGGAGGGTGAGAGAGATTTGTCCTGAACACAGGCCTAGCAGGACCAGGAAAACTTCAGCTACAAATGGTGCCCAATGGCTCGAGTTTCCACCTGAAACCTGAAAATACTTAATAACCAATTCTAAAAGGAGGTGGAAGCATGTCTCATGTGGCCGGCCAGATGCCACAACATGTCGGCTTCAGCCACTCTATGATGGGTTCGCGGCATGTGGGCTTGACCTATTCCCGCTGAGTTACACAGAGGTTTCTGTAAGCAGCGCAACATGGTGCATGGTGGATTTAGCCTTTGTTGGTTAAAAAAAAACAAAAACAAACAAACAAAAAACCTGCTTTGATAGAGGCACAGACCCACTGCTTCTGAGAGTTGATGGCTCCCAGAGATGGCAGTAAACGTACCACCGCCATGTTGGGAAGCTGAGGTGGGCACAGAAGGCTGCAGTTTAAAGCAACAGATTCACAATACAACAGATTCAGATGGAATGGTTTACAATGTATGTAGACTTGGAAGAGAGAGAAAAAAGAAATATATACAATTATATAAACAAATAGTTTTTAAAAATAAAGTCTTTAAAGAGACAGTAAAAGTAATATTTAAAAAAGCTACATAAAGATGGAAATTATACAGAGAATCTGGATTGTGTTGTCTTTGGTATTTTAACTGCAGAAAGACATTTGATTGTAAAAACTGTTGCGTTAAGCCAATATGTATATTTTAAAGATACCTTGACTTGAAAATTTGGATCTAAAGATATGTTACTTTGGAAAGGAGGCTCTGCTTTTGATTCCACAGAAAGCAAGAGGCTATGAATTTGTTCCAGATTAAGATATATCAGGATGGACCAGCCAAGACCCCCTGAAAGGTCTCCAATGACACCGTTATCCAGATGATCCAATATCCAGAACAGTTTCAAGACAATTGGCTCAGACAATACAGCCTCATGGACTACTCCATAATCTTAAAATTTTCTTTGTGTCCCCATAAGATACAGTGCCCTCATCCAGCAGGAAGTAGTATGAGAAGCTATGCCCAAATTCCCAAATATTCCAAGCTGGCTTTGGAGATGGAATTGGCTCACTCCTTCTCCAAACCCAAGCATATTGCCCCCCCCCCCAAAAAAAAAAAGGTTGAGAGATTTCTTTTTCTGTCTCATATCAGAAGAGCCTTCTGGTGTGGGACAGAACAAAACCAATATTTTAATTTAAAGCAGGTTGATTATAAGTGCGATCTCTTTCTAAAGAAGAAAAGGGAATATAGATATGACAGGATAAATAGGCTAAATAGTAATAGCTTATTTAAAAATGTTTTACATTGCTATGGATTTTAGTTTATTGATACAAGTTTAACTTAATTTTGTTATACTGTATATATTTCTACTCTCGTTTGAGGTACTATATGTAACTCATTTAGACTGTAATGGATAATTAAGAAATACAGATTAATAATTAGTCTTCTATGATAGTCAAACTTATAGTCATGTTAAGTTTTCTAGGCATACATAGATACAATTCAATTAGGTAGGTAATCTTCAAACACTTCAAAGACCTACAGAATATGGCATTTAAAATGTTATAAAAATTAAGACTTTCTGGACAGTGAGATATGTCTGCTCCTGGCAGCACCAATTTACTTCAGAGAGGAGGATGGGCATCGAAGACACTCTATATGGAGTTTATCTTCTTCTTGGCAAAAATAGCCATTTGGGCAAGAAACTGTTCTTGCCTGGACTGCTTGATCGACTGGACTTGCAGGACCCATAGGAAGGTGACCACTGAACTTTGCTTGACGAAATGGTCCTTCAGGTTCCTGCTTCGCAGAGGAAACTGCCAGACATTCTACAGGATACAGAGAGAAATGACTGAGAGATTCTAGGCCTGTGGGCTGAAGACAGATGCCCCAACTTTACAGAGGAACTTTGGGTGACTGTCCAGGCAGGCAGCTGTCTTTGTTGTTTCCAGAGTTTTGGAAGTTGCTTACAATGCTCTCCCTGTTTTCTTATGTAATATTATATCCTTCTGAGGTCTTTGATGTAGCTGAAGACTAGGATAGTTATAATTTCCTTACTTATGATAAAAGATAAGTTAGATATGAAACCTTAGACTCACAAATATAGGATGGAATATTTTCTTTAATTTTGCCAAATATAAATAGATTAGACATTGTAACTATAATTCTTGCTTGATAATTGTTTTGTTATATGTAATTTTACCATGTTAAAGTTAAAACCTTCCTTTTGGAAAAAAAGAAAGGGACAAGTGCTGGGATGATTAATTGATAAATCAAGTGCTGACTGGCCAGTAGCCAAGAAGGAAGTATAGACCGGACAAGGAGAGAAGAGAATTCTGGGAAGTGGAAGGCTGAGGCACAGAGATGCTGCCAGCTGCCACCACAATGAGAAGTATGATGTAAGATACCAGTAAGCCAGGAGCCACGTGGCAAGGTATAGATTTATAGAAATGGGTTAATTTACGATATAAGAACTAGATAGCAAGAAGCCTGCCACGGCCATACAGTTTATAAATAATATAAGCGTCTGTGTGTTTATTTGAGTCTGAGTGGCTGCCGGCCTGGGCGGGACTGGAGATAACTCGAGCTACAGCTAACCACACTGAAATGTGGGAAGTTAAATATACATTCCTTATTGTCTTTCACTTAAATGGAGACATGTTATGGTTATATAATTGTTCCAAACAATAAGTTGAAATATATTACTGTGGTGGTGGTTGTGTGCACACACCGTGTGGGTGCATGTCCAGTGTGGATCACAAATGGAGGTTAGAGACTGACAGTACAGTCAATCATCTCTTTCTACTTTATGTAGGTTCCTGGAATCAAACTACAAATGATGTACTGAGTCCTTTTCGTACTCGTCGGGTTTTAGTTATTTCAGGTCTATGGATCTAGTCCCTCTGATTCCAGTTTGACCGTAAGTGGGAGTGCTGGTACTTAAGATTTACTTTCTGTAAATAAAGTAAGAGGCAGAGAAGCACGGGCAAGTAGTGAGGGTTGTAGGACAGCACAAAGAGTCAAGAATGTGAGCGTATACTGGCGATAACTAACTCTGAAAATAAGTCACGTGTCCATTAGGAAAACAATGCGTGCTACAGCACTTCCCCCAAACAGTAAAATAGTGCTTTATAATTTACTTTCTTCCTTTTATTTTTTTTTTACTTTCTTCATTCTAACCTTTAAATCCTTAATCAAGATCACAGCATAAATACAAAAGAGAAGTGTGTCATATATGTAACAAATAATTACAGAATGATCTGCAAACAAGTATCTTTTCTTTTCCTTTTCTGAAAGTCTCCTTTGGTATCTAGGGCTGACTTAAAGTAGTGATTCTCTTGACTTGGCCTCTTGTCCAGGGTACAGATGTACACTACTTAGGACACCATGCTTGCAATGAATTTCTAACTATCCGTTTATTACATTAACATTCCCCATGTTACACCCGCGGGCAGTCACTCATTAAATTTAACACATTTACAACCTGACTGAAGAAAATAATACCTTTGAGAAGTCCAGAGTTATCGATGGGTCCGGGATAGACATTTTGATCTCCCATCTGGTATTTATCCCAACTGTCAAAGCCAACATATTTTTTCCACTGTTTGAACCAGCGACTATCTACTAGATACCTAGAAAGGAAGAGAAACTGGTTAGTTAAAACACCTGGAAATACAAGACTAACAACAGACCAATCTCCTTTTGTTACTTCACTTTGTATTAGAGAACATGTCCCCTTCAAAAAAAACATTAAGAACAAGAATAGTTTGAAATTACAGCCACACTGTCACTAGTACTTGGAAGGAAAGACTTCATTCGTACAAAAGATTTTCATTGTTAAATAAGCAGTGCTGACATACAAGTGGAAAAACAATCCCCGTAGCACTTGACAAAAGCATTCAAATGATAAAAATTCAAGAAAACCCTTGTCAATTGAAAAAAAAAAAAACCAACAATATATATATAAAAAAAAATCAATAAAAAATTTAAGGTACAATGTGGTAGGACAAAAGTATAAAAATGGCTCTACTAGAAAGCTACAAACACAATATACACTTTAGTGGTTTTTGAAAGAAAGGAAAGCTTATCATTAAGGGTTCTAAAAGTTGATTGTACTAGTTACAATCAAACTTAAAAACAGTAGTTTAGCACCCCCGTTTCAGCACTACATTCGGGACTGACTTCACAACAGTCTTACACAGTCTCTGGACATCATTCTAGCATGTAACCAGCTTCACCTGCAAGAAAACCAACAGCAGAGGCCGAGGAGACACTTACAGCTCTGTGTGTAACGCACATTTTCAGGGATCACCATTCTAACATTTTTGGCCTTACCACATACAGCACTAGAGAAATAAAAAACCCACAGTTATGTCTGAAAATAGCTAAAGCAAAGGCACCAACCTAACCAACCCTTCTAATTCTTAAAGAATATTCATGAGCAATTTCCTTCCCTGAAAGAGGATATAAAGAAGTCTGCAATGCCCCAACCCCACTGCCAGTTATGCAACGCAAAGCTCACACTGAGAACTCTCTGAGGTAGTAAGTCTTAAGTAAACCCACTTTCCAAAATGTTACTTAATTTAAGATCATATAGCACAATACATTTTCATCCTATTTTTCCATTCAAAATATGGTCCTTCCATATCCTCCCCAGCTAAATTTGTTTTTAAAAGCCAATAAATATATACAAACGAAAAAAAAAATCACTCAATAAATTTTGGACTTTTCCTCCATTGCAATTTAAGATACTAAAACATGTGACTTGCTTTCTCTGCAGATAAATGTCACACCAAGAGACATTTTCCCTATTTCATTCATTTATGTATTTATCATTGTCCCAATTCTATAGAGTTTTAATTACCTTAATCGTGATACTGTTTAGAACATTTCCTTCAGCTTATTGCCCTAACTGCCTCAGCTACATGTGGCCATTTGTGTTTTCAAAAGAATTTTAAATAAACTTATCAGATTACACACACAAATGAAGATTATGATTGGAATTGCACTGAACTTAACAGAACAATTGGGGGAACTGTGGATTTAGTCTTCTAAATCTAAGTCTGATCCACAGGGATGGAATTTTTCTCAATTACTCAGGTACTATTTAATGTGTTTTAATAAATGTTAACAAAGTATTTTCACTATTAAATAAGTAGTTACTATTTGAGGTCAAGTACTGACATAAAAAATAGGAACATAATCCCTGTAGCACTTTACATAAAACATTTAAATGATAACAATTCATGAAAATCCTTGTCAATCGAGCAAAAACTGAAAACACCATAGAGACTTTCAGTTTCTCTACCCAGGCATGGTGGCTCCTGTTTGTACTCCCAGCATCCAGGAGACTCAGGCAGGACTAAGTCTGAGGTCAGCCTGGATTTGAGACATACCACGCTACCTCCAAACCAAACATGATCAGTTTCCAAGCAATTATAGTTACTGCATAGAAATGAACAGTTTTATTATTTTTAATTGATACACAGAACCTCTGTCTATGTTTACGGGGTACCATGTGATGTGCCATACATGTACATAGTGCAATGTTTAAATCAGCAAAAACATGCTTTCCTCAGTATTTATCATCTCTTTACAGTAAAAAGATTCAAAGTGTTCTTGTAGCTTTTTGAAATACACACTACATAATCATTATCTACAGCACCATAGTGCAACACCAGACTTAGTCAAACAACTTAGTGCCCACTGATCAAACTCTCCCCGGCCTCTATACACTTCTCCCAGCTGCTCCAACTCTTCGACTCCGCATTTGAGTAGTTCACGTTTTTGAACCTGCCGTATTTTACTAATATCATGTCTACTACTGCAGGATTTTTATCCTTTTGTAAAAGGAAAACAGCATCCCACTCTGTACCTGCATTACATTTCCTTTATCCAATCATTGGTTGATGATGGGATACTGAGGCTTTTTATAAGAAATGATTAAAAAAAAAAAAAAGCAAAAAAACTCCTATCTACTGGCTGTCTGAGTCCTTAATAGTTTTATTTTGTTGGAAATGTCCTTGAACTTTTCCTTTTCTCTCAAATCTACAGCCCAGTCTGATCTGGATCTCACGGATCCTCCAGCACCAGACTCAGGAGTGCTGGGGTTACTGGCATACGCTGCCCCACACTGGGCTCCTCTTGATTTTTTTCAGCGTAAAAAAGTTACAAAGTTGCTGTAGATCATTTTCTAATTCAGTTTTCACTTCTCTTATCCAATCACTGACTAGGACTGGCTAGGGTAGAAGATGAAAGAGACTTCTTTCTTTTTGGAGACAAGGTCTCATTGTGCAATCCTGGGGTACTTGCAACTAGGTATGAAGACAAGGCTGGCATTGAACTTCTAGAGACCTGCCTGCCTCTGCCTCCCTGTGCCACCACATCTGGCCAGAAAGAAACACTCTTGTTTTTAATACAACCATCTAAATTTCTACCATTTGATAAAATAATTCGCTATAGTTTTTGATAAATGTTAGAGAAACTACCTTCTATTTAACATGCTTTTATCATGATTAAATATTGTATGTGCAGAGTTTTTCTTTTATTAAACAAAATAGGGTAACTTTTCCATTATTTTTCAAAGGTTAGTTTTGTGAGGGTGGGGATGGTCTGTTCCTGGACATTTGGTAGTAGTACTTACATCCAAGTTTCTTTGACAGTCAACATTTGTTTTGATCCTCAGTTAATTTTCTTAAATAATTTTGGCTTTTACCTTTATCATGGAGACACAGATAACCTAACTAACTGTCTTAAATATCTAATAGAATTAAAAGCAGAAATGTGAACTTGAAATGCCATTAATACTATAATTCAAAATGTCCTACCTTAAAATGTAGAATTTATGGAACAGCATCAACTGTCTATATACTGATACTGTAAGACACTTTTCCCTTGATATTCAACTGCTAGCTTCTCTTGAAAAAGTTTATGCTCCTGTTATAGGCTCCTGTATTTTATTTACAGAATTGTATAGAGATGTCTTGGAAACTTGAACATGCTGGGATGCAATTGTAATGTTAGGTGAATCCTAATGACAAGAACACCATCTCCTACCTGTCGGGATGGTGTTATTCAAAGAGTTGGAGAGGATGTGGAGAAAAAACAACTCTTGAGCTTTTGGGAGGAATGCAAAATGGTGCATTATTGTGGGAAACAGTACGGAAGTTCTTCAAAATAATAGGAAAAGAGTAACTACATGTGGTCCAGCAACCCACTCCCCGAGACACATATCAAGATGCTGAAGACACATACGCACTTCCATGTTCACTGCAGCATCACTTTAAGACACAGAAACAACCTAAATGTCCACAGACAGAGGAGCGGGTACAGAAGACAGAAGGAAATCCTGCTATATGTACTAACACAGAAGAACCAGGAGGGCTTGTGCTAAATGAAACAAAGCAGTTTCTACTTACATGAGGTATGTAAAACAGTCACAGTAACGGGGAGTAGACAGCAGATGTCGGGGACACGAGAGGAGAAATAACTTGCTGCTCGGTGCCTGTAGAGTCTCAGTTATATATGAGGACTGTTCAGATGAGCTGTACGTTGTGCTCACAGTTAACAACACTGTACTGTAGGGCAGATTTCTTGTCAAGAGTTCTTATCACAGCCATGAGATCGTGAAATGGGTAGACATACACTACCACGCCTGACAACCTGAGTTCCATCCCTGGTACACATAGTACAAGAAGAGAACTAATCCTCTATTTTGTACTGACTTCCACTTGAGTGCTGTGGGATGCCCACATACCACTCCAAGGCAATAATGAATGTAATAAATGCTTCTTAAAAAGTTCTTACTACCATATAAAAGTAATAGATGAGGGTCCAATCTGAATACAATGCAAACTGCATTGTACACTTAAGCAGTTTTATATATAAAACGGCAGACCTAGGGTGAAGCAAGAGACATGTCTTTGGACCTGGAAAATGAATGCTTCTTAAGTCTGGTGTTCTAAAAGTAAGAGATGTGAAAACAAAGAAAACTACTTGCCTGTACTTAGCCTACAGAAACGTACAAGCACACACAGCTCACACATCTACCTTAATTTACTATGTGTTATAAACCATACACTTCTCACCTGCTATTAAAATCTCCTGGTACATGCTGGAAAATCCACCCAGCACCAATTTATAGTAATCCACAAGCTCTAATACTTCTCAATTCCACCTATAAGCAATTCTCATCTTTCACAATAAAATTTCATATTTATTTTGGTATTTATGTATTTCTTAACCACTTACATTAAAACTGTGCTATCCCTTTTACAAGGCTTTTTTAAAGTATCACTGACAGAGTTCTGAGTCTTGTACCCTAATTTTAATTCTGTATGTCTCATAATTTTAAAATCTTTATTACTGAGTGTGTATGGGTATTTTGCCTTCATTTATGTCTGTGTAACACACGCATGCAGTACCTAAGGAAAATGCCAGATCCACTGGAACTGGAGTTACAGGCGTGTGTGAGCTGCTACATGGTTCCTGGGAATCGAACCTGAGTCCTCTGGAAGAGCAGCCAGTGCTCTTAGCTGCTGCATCATTTCTCCAGCCCCATCCCTTGTCATTTTTAACTGTGATCGTTTGCATAGCAAGGTGGTTCATAGAAACACAAGCTGTGTTACAGCAGAGCTGGTATAAAAATTATAGATGGATGGGAGA